AGAGTTCCGCATAGTCGAGAGCCTCTGAGCTGCCTACGCAGAGAGACAAATGCCACGTTGAGTCGGTCGTGATCACATTCTGCATAACCTGTCCAACCCTAGTGCAGGGTGATATTTTAAGTTCATAAAAAAAGCTATGGGGTGAGATGGCGTCAATATGATCTGTGTCGTGAACCCAGCACCACCCGACACGGTGATGACATCGCCTGACTCTTAAGGCCGGACACAGGAAGACTTCGTGACAATTCTGGCTATGAAGCTGGCCGCTGTTGCCGTTACTCGCCAGCGAAACGTCGCCGTACTTGAATGATAAATGTTGTCGTGGGTTGACTCTCCAACACAACAACCGGCGTGCTGAAGTTGTAACCGGCTGGCACGTGTTGTGCCCGTGACGAACCTTCCTAGTTGGATGTGTCCGGGGTGGTGGGGGTGGGGGGCCGTGGCGGGTTTTAACGACGCATTTATGTTCGCGTGATCTTTATTATGAATAGTATCGGTCACAAAAAGCCTACGACGTGTCCCATTGTAATTTGTGCATAGACACAAACGCGCGCGCGCGCACACTATATCTGTTGGACTTATCCTTTGAATAAATAAATCCCTCTTCGGGCAGAGGAAGCGACGGGGAAGAGGAGGGGGAGGAGGCTGTGAGGCTGGGGCCTGGGTCAGGGAGGGTCAGCGCACAGACATCCTCCTGGGAGCGCGGGGAGAGGGGGGATGGGGGGGGTGGACTATGGGGGGGGGGGAGCGCGGGGAGAGGGGGGATGGCGGGGGGCGCAGGGGACGTGGGGGGAGGGTGGGGGAGTCGATGGGGGGGGGAGCGCAGGGGACGTGGGGGGAGGGTGGGGGGGGGTCGATGGGGGGGGTCGATGGGGGGGGGAGCGCAGGGGACGTGGGGGGAGGGTGGGGGGGGGGAGCGCAGGGGACGTGGGGGAGGGTGGGGGGGTCGATGGGGGGGGGGGAGCGCAGGGGACGTGGGGGGAGGGTGGGGGGGGTCGATGGGGGGGGTCGATGGGGGGGGGGGAGCGCAGGGGACGTGGGGGGAGGGTGGGGGGGGAGCGCAGGGGACGTGGGGGGAGGGTGGGGGGGTCGATGGGGGGGGGGAGCTCAGGGGACGTGGGGGGAGGGTGGGGGGGGGGTCGATGCTCTTCCTCGCCCCACACCGCTGGGCCCATCTCACAGGGGGAGGCTTTGGGCCACCATTGGGGGCGCCGCCGTGGTGGCTATGAGATGTTAACTACCTCGCCTGGTGTGCAGGAGGTCGTGGGCTCCATCGAGACCCTGTGTATTGACCTCTCTTTCGCACCGTGGGTAGCCATCGGAGGTGCGCGATTAGAATCGCATTATAACTATTAGAATCACGCTGCTAGTGTTCGAATCACACTGCGCGCGTAGGTATGTTGTATGTACGCTAACATACATACGCCTGTATATTTGGAGTTCGCGTGTTCTCATCAGCCCCCCCACACTTCTACAATGGACGTGCGCTTCAGAGTTTGCTGCTAGAAGTGTTCACGTGATGACATCGGTCACTTTGTCGCGCTGTTGTCGTTTGTCATAGTCGGGTCGCTTCTGAAAAAGAGTTACACAAGAGCTCAGTGGACATCACCTGGTCAATAGAATGTCGTTTAGTTTATTAGTTTATTGCCAACCCCCGTCACACCAAGCGATTCGTCAGCTCACAGCCAGCGCCGCCAAACAAAGACGCGTTGCTCTGTGTGAGCAAGGCGCCATCCAACAGGAGATGCTCGTCGTCCATCAGCAGCAGCGTTGTTGTTGTTATCACTATCGTCATCAATCATGATGATCATCGTCATCAATCATGATGATCATCGTCAATCATGATGATCATCGGCATCAATCATGATGATCATCGTCATCAATCATGATGATCGTCATCATTAATCATGATGATCATCGTCATCAATCACGATGATCATCGTCATCAATCATGATGATCGTCAATCATGATGATCGTCGATCATGATGATCATCGTCAATCATGATGGTCATCATCAATCAATATGATCATCAATCATGATGCTCATCATCATCATCAATCATGATGATCATCGTCATAAATCATGATCATCGTCATCAATCATGATGATCATTGTCATCAATCATGATGATGATCATCGTCATCAATCATGATTATCATCATCGCCGCCAACATCATCCCAGATGCAGTTACTGGGCGGCCGTCAATGTTGAAAGAGTATTTTGATCGGTGTTATCGCACATCGCGGTGTCTGTGGTCAAAGTCCAACGATCCTGTGGGAAGTGAGGCGGCACCCGTCTCCTGAACGCGGCCCTGAGCCAGCGGTGGAAACTCCACGTTCCCATGGCTCTTTCTAATATTCGCCCCGTAGAGTAAGGGTCCGACGCCTTTCTGCGCAAGTAAGGCCGCGCCTCCCCTGTTAAGTGAGTTACGTGTGGCCGCATTTAAGCAAATCACGTTTCTTCCAGCCTCCGGTTGGGTTTTATTTTCCCACGCTTGCCGGCGTTGCTGTGAACACGCAGAAACACGTGTCACGCAGAAACACGTGTCACGCAGAAACACGTGTCACGCAGAAACACGTGTCACGCAGAAACACGTGTCACGCGCAACGCTCTCCGTATCCCACCCGTGACGGGTCCTGCAACATCCAACACCGTGGTCCGTCCAGTGCTCCCCGAGGTGCATTGGCTTCCGGTTGCCAAAGGAATACGTTGTGTATAAGGCCGCACTGATTGTACACACAGTGCTGGCCACAAATGAGCCACAATACCTGGCCGCTGATCTCGTCATGGAGCAGAAACCATTATCACGCGAAGTGGGGCCATCCTCGCAGCAGCGGCTTTTGGCTGGCCATCGAACACCGAACGTTATTTGTTCCGATGTTCGGAAGCCACTGGAGCCACGCACTTTCAAATCATCAACTAGATTGAAAATTCATTTCTTAAGAACCACGTTTTGCGTTCATTTTGTTGTCCTTCCTCGGCACCTCTGATTAGTGCGGTTGGCTACGTACGGTGCGACAGAATTTCAGCACCCATCACACCCCCCTGCTGCGAAAACCTGGCAGGACCCTCCTGAAAGTGAGTCTTGAGACTCAGTGAAGCTTTCCTGAGTAAACAAGCATAGTAATATTCTTGGTTCTTTCGGTAAAGTCACGTAGAAGGGAAACAATAACAACACATTTTCTTGCTGTGGTTTTCACACCTGATGATGATTGCTTGTGTTGCAGTCGAAACGTCGTGAGAATTGTATTGTTTTATATTTTTATTATTTTATTGTTTCCCTTCTACGTGGTGACTTTACCGAAAGAACCAAGAATATGAATCCCTGCAGTCACGAAAGCTTTAAATCAAAATTTAACCATAGTAAAACTAATAATCTACCCGTCTTTATTGAATTAGTATGCACAGTTAACTTTTTGTAACTTGATTAACTATGGGTAGTGCGGCACCATAGCCCCGAACCTGGCCACCCTTGTTCGATCCCTGGCCACGGCTCACATCAGTGCAGAGCGATGTCCGAACTTACGCTGGGATCCCCCCCCCCACACACACCTCTTGAAACACCGGCGCTGACCAATCTGGTGGCGAAGTATGGTCAAGCGACCTTCCACGACTGACGCGGAGTGACGAACCCTCCATCCAGCAGTGGATTGACAGGGGGGCTGCGGTATTAATAAACTCATGAGAAAGATGAATCTGGCTCAGACCGAACGCTCCTCGGGAGCGGAAGCACGCCGCGCCGAGAGGACGTCCGCCGCGTGAGACGGAGCCGTGAAATCGGCCGGTGACGCCGGCGGCCAGGATGGATTTATGCCGCGTTTGGCGAGACCGCGAGCGACGCCGACGGCCTGGGCGGACGAGGGCCTTCATCCGCGGCCGATGGATCGGAGTAATTCTAAATATATATCTCTTTTTAATCTTTGCCAAGAGAGTGTGTCGGCGGGGGTGGGCGTGTGACCGTTCAAATTCAGAGCGTTTAAGCGGCGTGAGATTCGGAAGCCGGTTTTCCTGTGCGTTGCTACGCGTGTTTGGTTTCGACACAGCCAATCGCAGGACAACACCGCGTGTGTGGGGGGGGGGGGGGGACTTGCAGCCGTGGTCAGATTGGGGGCCCCCCCCCCCATCGCCGCGCCGTCTTCTTCTGCTTCTGGGAATGTCGTTCTTGCTCCGGGGAAGAACAAAAAAAAACGGCGATTCCTTCCAGAGCCCCCCCCCCCTCCTCCGGAGAGGGCGAGCACCCCATCGCGTCCCGCTCTTCGTCGTCACGCCAGCCACGCGGTGCCCTCGACGCCGATGACACGCACGCGTGTACCGCGCGCGCCCGTGCCCCCGCATGCACGCGCACACGGCTGTGCGGAGTCGCAGTGCGAGTTTAGAAGGGGAAGAAGGGTCCGTGGGGATGACACACGAGGTGCCGGGCGGGGTCACCTGTAGCAGGGAGCGCTCGCTCCGTGCGTGACGCTCCCTGGAGCCCTCTCCCACCCCTCGCCGCACTCTTCCCGGCACCGCGAGTTTCCCTGTTTGTGTCTCGGGCTGACTGGAACGCCGTTTCAGACGGCAGCCTGAATTGTCTCCGGGTCGGTTTCGCTTCACGGGTCCACGCGCAGGAGTGAGCCGAGTTCGATTCCTGCTCACGGTCGACACCGGCGACGATTATCTGAACCGGTGCTAGGGCTCCCCTAGGTCGACTCAGCCTCAAATGGGTACCTGGTGCGGTGTGTTGAACACCGCCACTGGGGAGACAAAGGCGGCCGGGCGTGGTGTTGGCCACCCACCCCTTCATGTGCCGTGCCGGCCTTCAAAGGTGCTCGCTGACAGCACTTGCCCCAACAGTCTGTTAAGGCTACACGGGGGACCTTCGTCTTTGTTGTGTGTATCCGTGTCTTTGTGAGTGCGCGCGTCCCCCGCGCGTGTGCATTTGTCGTGACTAATTTGTACCCCTTCGGACATGCAAGCCAGAATGAGGACTCCTTGTGCATGCGTGCGCGCTACGGCAGGATGCTTCATGAAGAGCAGCAACGGGTGCGACAGCAAGACGTGCAGCGTCGACTTCACGTTGTTCTGCTGCTGCAGCGAGGACCTCTGCAACGTCGCGACCGCCACCCTGGCGCCCACAGGTGGGAGGGTGGAGGGGGGGGTCCGAGTGGACCCCTGCGTCTCGTGACGCTGCGCCGACGGGCGAACTGAAATGTAGAAAAAGAGGCGATTCTAGATTTAAAGCTTTCGTGACTGCTAGGATCCATACTCTTTGGTTCTATTGGGTAAAGTCAGCGCTGTCCTCCAGACAGTCTCGTCCCTTCACCTGATGAAGGCCGCTTGTGTTGTGGCCGAAACGTCGTGATTTTTGGTTATTTTATTTTCACCTACGTGACTTTACCCAATAGAACCAAAGAGTAAAGAGGCGATTGTTGGTTTAGAGCGGCAGGGTCCATTGCAGCGTCAACTCAGAACAACGCAACCGCTTAACCGCGTAGCAGCAGCTGCAGCTCCAGCGGCTGCTGCTGCTGCGGCTGCAGTAGCAGCAGCAGCGTCTGCAGCAGCTGCAGCCGCTGCTGCTGCTACGCGGTTGCGTTGTTCTGAGTTGCTGCTGCGTCGACGGTTCTCGCCGAGCCTGAGCTGGAGGCGTTTACTTTTGCGGAGACGAATGTAGTAAACACCGCCGCTCTGAGTCGTTCCGTTTCCCAGCTCGCGTTTTATTGCCGCGGCTGTCGGCCAACAAACACAACGCTGAGCGAGCGCTGCGAAAGACGACCCTCGCACTCGATCACATGCTCGATCGCTCGCTCGATCGCTCGATCGCATTCTCAATCGCAGACGTGGCAAGCCCAAGGAATAACGGCGCCGCACGCACGCACACGATCGTTTCTCCCCCCAGCCCTGTCGCCCGAATTGATTGCTGTGGATTTTGGAATTGATAAATGCGAACTAAAGATACCATAATTAACTTCTTTGGTTCTTTCAGTAAAGTCACGTAGAATGAGAATAAAATAATAAAATAAAACAATTAAATTCTCACGATGTTTCGGCCACAACACAAGTGGCCTTCTTCAGGTGAAAGGGACAGACCTGTTGGACGACAGGTCTGTCGTCCCAACAGGTCTGTCCCAACAGGTCTGTCCCTTTCACCTGAAGGCCACTTGTGTTGTGTCCGAAACATCGTGAGAATTTAATTGTTTTATTTTATAATTTTATTCTCATTCTACGTGACTTTACCGAAAGAACCAAAGAAGATGAATCCTTGCAGTCACGAAAGCTTTAAGTCGAAATTTAGACCATAATCAAGTTGAGCTGAAGCGTGCGCACAAATGGCACGCCGCCGCCGCCGCTGCTGATGCGTCGTGAGTTGCAGCCAGAAACTCTGCGTCCAATCGCGAGAAACCGCATCCGGCCCGGTTCAGCACGGGACCGTGCTGTGCCTGAGGGGCTGCGTTAGGAATGGGACAGGCTGGGCACCACAAAGGCGAGATGTTATCTCCCACGCCTGTCATACCGGAGTCATGCGTTCGATCCCGATCCTGTGATACCTGCTGTAAATTTGGAGTTTGCGTGTCTCCCTCCTCCGTGGTCGCGTGGATTTTCTCCGGCTCCTTTGGGTTTTCCCTCCAAGTTTAGAATCAACATCGCTTTAGATTCCCCACGCGATGATGAGCCATATTGCTTGGTTCTTCCGGTAAAGTCACGTAGATAGAAAAATAATCATACGAAATAAAGTGAATGAAAATATAAATAATAATAAAAATAATGTAGACTAAGGCCTGGTTCTTAATCGGAGTGTACTGGCAGTCTATAATGTAGACTGTAGCCTGATTCTTAATCGGAGTGAGTGTACTGGCAGTCTATAGTGTAGACTGTAGCCTGGTTCTTAACCTTGGTGAGTGTACTGGCAGTCTATAGTGTAGACTGTAGCCTGATTATTAAGCTGAGTGAGTGTACTGGCAGTCTATAATGTAGACTGTAGCCTGCTTTTTAAGCTGGTGAGCATATTGGCAGTCTATAATGTAGACTGTACCAATAGTTATTCAACTGAGTGAGCGTACTGGCAGTCTATAATGTAGACTGTAGCCTGGTTATTAACCTGAGTGAGCGTACTAGCAGTCTATAATGTAGACTGTAGCCTGGTTATTAACCTGAGTGAGCGTACTGGCAGTCTATAATGTAGACTGTAGCCTGGTTATTAACCTGAGTGAGCGAACTGGCAGTTTATAATATAGACTGTAGCCTGGTTATGAACCTGAGTGAGCGTACTGGCAGTCTATAATGTAGACTGTAGCCTGGTTATTAAGCTGAGTGAGTGTACTGGCAGTCTATAGTATAGACTGTAGCCTGGTTATTAACCTGAGTGAGCGTACTGGCAGTCTATAATGTAGACTGTAGCCTGGTTATTAACCTGAGTGAGCGTACTGGCAGTCTATAATGTAGACTGTAGCAATAGTTATTCAACTGAGTGAGTGTACTGGCAGTCTATAGTGTAGACTGTAGTCTGGTTATTAACCTGAGTGAGCATATTGGCAGTCTATAATGTGGACTGTAGCAATAGTTATTCAACTGAGTGAGCATACTGGCAGTCTATAGTGTAGACTGTAGCCTGGTTATTAACCTGAGTGAGCGTACTGGCAGTCTATAATGTAGACTGTAGCCTGGTTCTTAACCTTAGTGAGTGTACTGGCAGTCTATAGTGTAGACTGTAGCCTGGTTTTTAAGCTGGTGACCATATTGGCAGTCTATAATGTAGACTGTAGCAATAGTTATTCAACTGAGTGAGCGTACTGGCAGTCTATAATGTATACTGTAGCCTGGTTATTAACCTGAGTGAGCATACTGGCAGTCTATAATGTAGACTGTAGCCTGGTTATTAACCTGAGTGAGCGTACTGGCAGTCTATAATGTAGACTGTAGCCTGGTTATTAACCTGAGTGAGCGTACTGGCAGTCTATAATGTAGACTGTAGCCTGGTTATTAACCTGAGTGAGCGTACTGGCAGTCTATAATGTTGAATAAAAATAAAAACAACAAAAAACAAAAACCACGACGTTTTGATCACAACACAAGCGGTCGTCATCAGGAAAAGGGGGTTTAGCCTCTAAAGGCAAACTATTTATAAAGGTTTATAGATGGGCGTAGCCCTCGTGTGTCAGCAGCATGGGCGGGGCAGCTAATGTTAATGCAGGAATAAACAACACTGGCAGTATGGCTGAACGATGAATCGATTTCAAATCGATATCGCAATTTGAAACAATGCGATTATCAAATCGCAAAGGCTGCGATTTTTTGCGATTTGAAAAGTCCTATTACTTTCTTATCGGAATTGTTTTATTTTTTATTATTATAACTTTATTTATTTAACTTAACAACTGTTCTATGATCGTTCTATTTCAATTACTTTTTTTAATAAATACATGTAGGAAGCAATTCATATATTTTAAGTTCTCATCCTTGCATTAGAATATATAGAGCAGTTCCTATTTTGATGGTATCAGGTGGTAATGCTCCATCACATGTTTTAAATCTATTACACAGTAAATATTGAACTGAAGCTTCACTTAACATTTTTTATCGTAATTCAAATCGCAATATCTGTCAGAAAAATCGCAATTATATATTTTCCCCAAATCGTTCAGCCCTAACCGGCAGTAAGTTTACACCAATCAAAGGGCCACCAGGCAATCATTGCACCTCGCTCCACACAGCCACACTTCTGACGGTAGAGGTTGACAAGAAAACATAAATCAAGTCATGACCCAAAGTGGTTGATGACATCTTTCCAATGATTGCTAAGTTTATAACCGTTGTCTCGGTTGAAATTCTGTTTGTATATATGGATGGCTTCATGAACGAATCTTTGTTGATAGCCAAGAGGCTTGCAAAGTACCATCGTCTTAGAGAAATCAATTTTGTGACCCAGCCGTATTAAAGTAATGATCAGTCACGGCAGAAGTATTGGTCCTGCTGTTTCAAATCTGCCTTATGTTCACGAACACGGTCCGAGACATGTCGCTTAGTTTCCCCAATGTAACTGTTGCCGCAGATACAGCTTAGTTTGTAGACGCCAGGATATTGCATGTCAGGAATCTTGTCCTCTACAGATGGGATCAGATCACGCATTTTAGGGACTGTGTTAAATCGGACCTGGATCTTGTGTTTGTTCATGATTTTAGAAATATTTTTGGTTACCCCTGCTATGTATGGCAAGGTGATGGTTTTGATTTGATCCTCAGATGCCTCCTTCCTCACAGTTGGGGTGATGGCCTTGCGGATTGTGTAGTCAGAACATCCATTCGCCTTGAGAGCTTGGTGTACGTGTTTGAGTTCACTGGTTAGGTGTTCATAGTCGCAGATACATTGAGCTCTATGGTGTATTGTTTTGATGAGGGAATTCTTCTGGAATGGATGGTGGTGGGAATCAGGTTTTAGGTAGACGTCAGTATTGGTTACTTTCCTGTAGACAGAATGGCTCATTGAGCCATCTGGTCTCTTTTTGATTAGGACATCCAAGAAAGGTAGCTTGCCATCCTTTTCTACCTCCATGGTGAATTTGATGGTCTCAGACAGATGCAGCCAGTACACTCACTCCGATTAAGAACCAGGCTACAGTCTACATTAGTGTGTTTTTTTTAGTTTTATTATTTTAATCACTTTACTTTTATTATTTTTCTATCTACGTGACTTTACCGAAAGAACCAAAGAATATGAATTCCTGCAGTCACGAAAGTTTTAAGTCAAGATGATGGGCCACTTCGTTGAGCTATCATTTGTCATAGCCAGGTCGCTTCTAAAAAAGAGATATATTGCTTAGTGGGCCTTACCTGGTAAAATAAAATAAAAATTGCAGTGAAGAACAGAACCCGTTTGCTCGTCAACACCGAGAGGGCTGCAGCTCTCGCGCGTGTCCCCCCGTGCATGGTAACCCCGCGTGTGAGTGAGAGTCGGAGTGAGCTGAGAGAAATTAGTGGGGTCTGAGTGAGGTGTGCAGCGTGCTTGAAAGGAGTGTGAACGAGAGCGGAGTGAGAGTGTGAGTGAGGGCCGAGTGTGAGTGAGGGCGGACTGAGAGTGGAGTGTCAGTGAGAGCGGAGCGTGAGTGGAGTGTCAGTGAGAGCGGAGCGTGATCAGAGCGCGTGCTCGCTGCGTGCGCTGCTGCAGAAGAGGTGACGCCGGCAGCGGCGGCCCCGGGCGGCCACGCCATGGTGGTGGTTCTCGTGTCGCTCACCGCCGCTGCCACGCTGCTCGTGGCGCTGCTCTACGCGCTGCGCCAGGGCTACAGTGAGTGCCCGTTGATCTACGCAACATCCCTTCGAGATTAAAGTCTAAAAGAAATCCCCGCCCCTGATCGCGTTCCGTTCAGCGCCAGCGGCATGTTTACGGAGTCGACGGCGTTTTCTGTTTGGGAAATGTGTTTAACTTCTTTCGCACCGTACGTAGCCGGTGCATCGCGCTCGGCTGTGCCGGTGCCGTGCGTGCGGTCTTCCCTGTGCCGTGCGTGACCGCGGCCGTGCCGTGTCACCCCCGCAGAGCAGTGGAAGAGGAAGAAGGGAAGAGCAGCAGAAGCCCAGCCTTATCCCAGCATCGACACCAACAAACTCATGCTCATAGAGGTGCGGAACTGATGTATGTGTGTGAGATTGAAACACTAATTTCTTTAAAACTGCTTTGTGCGTTTAGTTTATTGTTCTTCCCCCGCACCTCAGATTAGCACGGTTGGCTACGTACAGTGCAAAAGAATTTCAACATACACACGTAGCGAATTGAGCCCATAGGGGTGCGGAACCCATAGAGTTCACAGATCCCATGGACTTCTACACAAATCTTGGTGTCGCCTGATGAAGCTGGTTGGAATTACTGGCGAAACGTCGTACTCAGTTTGTAAATGTTGAGGCTTGGCTCTCCAACACACCGGTGTGCTGTACTAGTGATGAATTGGAATGTTCTGTTTACGTGACGAACCTTATTAATTGCCTGTGTAGGGTGGTGGCGGGTTTAACGACACATGTATATATTGACGCGATCTAACCCAAAGTAACCTCTATTATAGATCAGCGGTCCCCAACCTTTTTGGACCGGTTTCGTGGAAGGCAATTTTTTTGTCACGGACCGGGGGGGGGGGGGTTTCATCATTGGGACTTTCCCCCGTTTCAAAGAAGCTCTCCAGCTACGTTTGTTTGTTACTCATTGTGGCTACTAGGGGTTAGAGCTTGTGGGCTTACCAACACTGTGACTGAGACAAGTGCACAGTGCGGGAAAGAGGCGCGGACGGAAGTGGTAAATAATAAAATAATGGGGGATGGGCCACGCGCGGACTCCACCGCTCTCACCTCCTGCTGCTGCTGTGCGGCCGCGTTCCTAACAGGCCACGGACCGGTACCGGTCCGCGGTCCGGGGATTGGGGACCCCTGTTTAAATATCGAGAACCCATCGTTAGGGTGCGGCAGTGCTGCCACCTCCTGGCCACTTCAGGATGTGGCAGCACTTTCCCACTTCCCCACCAACCTGGCCATGGCGACGGAGAGTAAAATTTGTTTCGTGACAGTCAAAAAGATTAGTTTTAAATGTCGGACTTGGAATTTAGCCAAATTAGGTTCAGGACCAAATTTTACGTGCCGGGCCTTTTTTTTTGTCCCACCGTTCGGAGACCATTAACTCACTCCGCTCGAGAACCCGGCTTGACAGCGGGCGGCTGGAACCCGGATTTGAAACCAGGATGTCAGCGGCGCCAGCTCAGTGCTCTGCCAGCTCCACGCACCGCACCAGGACGGTCCTCATGATAACTTGAGCCCGTATCGCGACGCTGCAGTGGCTCGCTCGCGGCAGACAGATAACGACTCGGAGGGGCACGGAACCACCGGCGCGCGGAAAAGCGGCCACAAGATGTACCAAAAATTGCCCAAACTCTGCTGTCCTCTGTATATGAAGGTGTTGGCGCCCAATTTAATGTTTAAACGCGGGCGTGAACCGGTGCACTAGGATAAGACCCACATTTGCAAGGGGAAAACACTCTATCCTGTGTAGACAGGAACACGTGTAGTCCATCCACATTTGTTGCACTGCCTTCTCGCGGCAAGCCAGGGTGTGGCCTCGTCCTCGACATCCATCTCTGTGTGTGCGGTGATGCACCAACCATCGCAGCCGCTGCCTCCACAGCAGCGCAGCCACCACCACCGCCGCCGCCACCGCCACCACGGCTAAAAGGGCGAACAGAGCCGAGCGGGTCCGTCTATTCGCGCGAGTTTCTCGTAACCGTCACCCCCTCCCGTCCCCCGCCCACCACCCGCCCCCCCCCCCCCCGCGCCTGTGGCGCACAGCAAATAGGTCGCGGGCGCTACGGCGCGGTGTGGAAGGGCGTGCTGGACGAGTGCACGGTGGCAGTGAAGGTCACGTCGCTGGAGAACCGCCAGAACTTCCTGAACGAGCGCGAGATCTACCGCCTGCCGCTGGTCGCGCACGGCAACATCACGCGCTTCATCGCCGCTGAGGAGCGCAGCGGCCCTGACGGCCGGCCCGAGTTCCTCGTCGTCATGGAGTACTACCAGCACGTGAGTCCCACCGGCACGTGAGTCCCACCGGCACGTGAGTCCCACCGGCACGTGAGTCCCACCGGCAACTGAGTCCCACCAGCACGTGAGTCCCATCGGCACGTGAGTCCCATTGATACGTGAGTCTCATCGACACGTGAGTCCCACCGGCACGTGAGTCCCATCAACACGTGAGTCCCACCGGCACGTGAGTCCCATCGGCACGTGGGTCCCACCGACACGTGAGTCCCATCGACACGTGAGTCCCATCGACACGTGGGTACCACCACCACTGGAATTGTGGGTTTCACCTTGATGCTCGGCAGTTGAAGTGTTTTCGCCTTAGCCGTCATGCATGACGGCTAAGGCTCTCCCGAGTAGACAAGCGTAGCAGTAATGATGCTAGTGATAATGTATGTGTGTACGTTGAACTTCTTTCGCACCGTGCGTAGCCAACCGTGCTAATTGGAGGTGCGAACCGTGCGTGGGGTGACTGAGAAATGCCCGTGCGTGTTCTCCCTCTGGTCGCGTGGATTTGTCTCCGTGTCCTCCCGTTTTTCCCTCCACATTTAGCATCAATGTTGCGCGTAAGAGTACTTGGCTGCTCTACGTTGTCGCATCACGATATCGGCCACTTTGTCGAGCTGCCATTCGTGATAGCCAGGTCGCTTCTGAGAAAGAGTTCCGTAGCAGCTTAGTGGAGCTGGTAACATAAACGCCCGGTAACATAAACACCCGGTAACATAAACACCCGGTAACATGAACACCCGGTAACATGAACACCCGGTGACATGAACACCCGGTGACATAAAAACATGGTAACACAAACGCCCGGTAACATAAACACCCGGTAACATAAACACATGGTAACATAAAAACATGGTAACATAAACGCCCGGTAACATAAACACCCAGTAACATAAACACCCGGTAACATAAACACCCGGTGACATAAAAACCCGGTGACATAAACACCCGGTAACATAAACACCCGGTAACATAAACACCCGGTAACATAAACACCCGGTAACATAAACACCCGGTAACATAAACACCCGGTAACATAAACACCCGGTAACATAAACAATAGTTTAAGACTTTGATGCCGCCCCCTCGCGCCGCTCCCATCGCTGCCCTCCGCGCGTGACCCCAGGCGCGTTCTGCCGCCCCACAGGGCTCGCTGAGCAACTTCCTGACGAACAACGCGAGCGAGTGGGAATGCTCGTGCCGCCTGGCGCATTCGCTCACCCGGGGGCTCTCATACCTCCACTCGGAGATCGTCAAGAACGGCGACTACGGTTTGCATCCCGGCGCGAGCGACGCAATCTCTGTCTCTCTCTGTCTGTCTCTCTGTCTGTCTCTCTGTCTGTCTCTCTGTCTGTCTCCGTCTCTCTCCGTCTCTCTCCGTCTCTCTCCGTCTCTCTCCGTCTCTCCGTCTCTCTCTCTCTGTCTCTCTCTCTGTCTCTCTCTCTGTCTCTCTCTCTGTCTCTCTCTCTGTCTCTCTCTCTGTCTCTCTCTCTACCTGTCTCTCTCCGTCTCTCTCCATCCCTCTCTGTCTCTTTGTCTCTCTCTGTCTCTTTGTCTCTCCATCTCTCCGTTTCTCTGTCTCTCCGTCTTTCTGTCTCTCCATCTCTCTGACTCCATCTCTCTCTCTGTCCGACTGGCGGCTTCGTGATGAGCTCACAGGGAAGGGGAAGGGTGTGATCACCGGGAGTTGTCTGATCGCAGAATAGAAATAACATTGAATCTCTTGGCCTGTGGGCGGGGGCCCGATTCCGAGTTTAAGAATCGTGAAGCGGTTAGCACGGCGGTGAGTGCATTTCGTTATAAACTATTGAAACTAAAGCGATTTTATTTACCAGGTAATGCCCCACAGCTCTTTTTAAGAAGTGACCTGGCTATAACAAATGATCGCTCAACGAAGTGGGCTTACCATCACGTGGACATTTATAGCAGCCAAATACTTGGAATGCGTGACGTTCGTTCTAAATGTGGAGGGGAAAACCGGACGGACCCAGAGAAAAATCCACTCGACCAACACGGCATGCATGGGGAGGTGTGCATCCAGCAGGCGGATTGACAGTTCACTGTAAATGTTATTAATGAAAAACCCGGAGTCCAGGTGGGTCCGAGGTCACATTACTGAGCCAACACCGCTGAGATTCTGAGTTCATACTGGGCTTGTGATGTAACCATGTAACCATCACAAGCCCAGTGATGTAACCAGACTCTCGAGTTGATGGTCTCAGCATGGCCACCAATGACTGCACAAGAGAAATCATGTATAATTGGATCTATTTTCAGTAATTTAACACTCAAATAAATTTAGAAACATGCGTTTAGATTATTTTTGCTGCTATAAATTTTCACGCGATAACCTACTTTGTTGGGCTATCATTTGTGCCCTGGTTGCTTCTGAAAATAAGTTACTAGCTCAGTGAACTTTACCTGGTAATATGAAAATATCATGGGACCTGTCCTGCCAGTATCAAAATATGATGTTGGCAGAAAACGTTATCCTATGATACAGCTGCTCACCCCAAGCTATAAATGCTCTGATAGTGCATTCTTTGTACTGTTCGCTTATGATGCTCTCTGGTCTGACACTGTGAGACTAGACCATAAAGAAGGTAGTCTCTTTGGTGTAGGCCAATCAGTTTCAAAGTCAATGCGACATACATTACATTATCAGAGCATGTTTGTTTGCATGTTCACCACAAGTACTGGGTGTGGATGATGCAGTACATGATTCCTTGCAAAAGTTACCTATTTGGTGTTTGGACATCTTAACACTTCTTGTTTTATTTCCAGAAAGGGTAAAACTTATTATAATTTTCATGAGATAAAAAATGTAGTTTTATTTGTGTTTTTTTAAGTGATTTGTTTACCTTTCCTATAGAGGCCGACCGAAATTCGGTTTCGGCGCAAAAGTTGGCAAATGGCCTCTTTCGGCATCGTTTCTGCTGAAAGTAAATGTTTAACTTTGGGTCTGGTTTTGGTTTTGGCCCGAAACTGATATTGACTTTCAGTCGTCAACCGAAGATCTATTTTTAGAATATAACGCCTAGTGCTACGTCTATCTCTCTACCTATCGGCCAGTCAGTCGGCGCTAGGCAATCCTATGCAATAGGCTGCAAACACACACACACACACGTACACACACATACGTACACACAAACACACAAACACACGTACACACACACGTACACACAAACACACGTACACACACAAACACACACACGTACACACAAACAACAACCGCCATTCGCCACTAAGTGGCGGTGACGTCACCACGACGCTTGTGCCAGGCTATGTGCACCGTGAGGCCACGTGAAGTGTCGAACGCCCGCTGGCAGGAGGTCACTGGGCAGACCCAGGTGCCACGGGTCGACTGACTGAGATGACTGGCTGATGCACCACCTGTGCCCCCTACTATGCCAACCTGCTGTGCTTTAGCCACCCGGCGCTCCGCTCGTTGTTGTGAGCGTCGCTCCTCCGCCCTCCGTTGTTGGAGGGCGACTGCCTCCAACTGCCCAGTAGCATCCTTCACGAGCCTCCTCCACAGAGGCCGATCTTGACACCGCTGGTACCAGTCATCGGCAAGTCCACTCAGCTCCACGTCCTCCTGTACCACATCACTCCATCTCTTCTCTAGCCCGTGCCGCGCCCGCTTAGCCCCCTCAATCCGGCCAAACAAAAGCCGTCTCGGCATGCGGTGGCCGGGCATGCGGGCCACATGACCCAGCCATCGCAGCCTTGCCTGCCGGAGGAGCTCACCGATGGGACTCTGCCCAGATCTTTCAAGGATTTGTGAGCTCCTCACACAATCCAGTCTGGCTAAACCCAGGATGGACCGCAGGCAGGCCAGCCCAAATGCCTCCAACCGGCGAAGATGCTCCACTAGGGGGGTCCACGTTTCGCAAGCGTAGAGAAGGGAGCGAATGACCGTGGCCGAGAAGACCTGAAGCTTAGTGCGGAGCGACAGACCAGGTAGCTTCCACACAGCGTTACGCAACCGATGAAAAGATATTACCGCTCGACTGATTCGGAGTGAGACCTCTGCTGTTAAACTGGAGCCAGTCATTAGCACACTGCCCAGGTATGGGAAACTCACCACTCTCTCCACAACTGCCCCATCACCGATTGGGAGTTGTGGGGGTGGAGTGTCCGATGGTACAAAATACCCAGGCAGGTGCTTAGTTTTGGTGGGGCTGATGGTAAGGCCCCACCTCTTAGTGGCACGCTCCAGTCTCACACAAACACACACGTACACACAAACACACGTACACACGTACACACGTACACACACACGTACACACACACGTACACACACACGTACACACAAACACACACGTAAACACAAACACACGTACACACAAACACACGTACACACAAACACACGTACACACAAACACACGTACACACAAACACACGTACACACAAACACACAAACACACACACACACACGTACACACAAACACACGTACACACAAACACACGTACACACATACACACACACACGTACACACAAACACACACACATGTCAGCAGCAGCTTGGGAGCGAGGTTACAGCCACAACAACGGTCTGCTAATGTATAGACGACCGGTCAACAGACGGCAGCCTGCATCTCCATCCGTGTGTGGAGTCTCTTTGGCGGGATGACAACAAAGTGCCTCTGTTGTCTGTTCCAAGCCGCCTGCCCGCCTTGGCTTTTATGTGTTGCGTTCGCTTCAATCTACAAGCGTGTTGATACGAAGTCTGACAATATTGATATTCAGTTAGTTAATAGTTCCGTAGCGAATTAGTGATAACGAAATTACGAATCTGGGTGAAGTAGAAAATTTAAGTTAATAAACGGAGCATTTAATCACCGTGAAGAATGTCGAAACATGCGGTGTGGGATTACTTCACTAAAGTCGATTCTGACTCAAGCAAGGCACAGCAACCTGCTGGACGAGAATGTGGAAAAAAATTGTTGTTTCTTAACTACAACATTCGTTTGTTTGGATATAATTACTAAGTAACACCTAAAGATTTGATATTTAGCGACTCTTATTGCAGGCTCTGAATGATTAGTTCTAGATTTCTTTTTAATTAAAGTAGCATTGCTTCATGACATATTTCATCAATCTTGTGTTCGGTAACTTCGGTTATAAACCTTTCTGTTTCTGTCTCGGCCGAAAGTGAAGTTCAACTTTCGGCTTCGGTTTCGGCCGAAAGTCAACTTTTAACTTTCGGTTTCTGGTTTCGGTTTAGGCCGAAACCAGCAAATCGGTTTCGGTCGTCCTCTACTTGCTTCTACTTTGCACTGCCTACCGTGTTTTTGTGTCGTTTGTTGTTGTAACGTTCTGACCCCGTGCCCCTCATCGGATTCCTCCTGCAGTACAACTAATTATTAAAGTCTCAATGGTTTCACATGCGACACGCAGCTCAGCAGGCCACCGAAAAGTGTTCTCTGCGAGCGTGCATAGGGGAAGGCCGAGCGAAGTGACGTTCACAATTCGTTCTGTGACGTCGTCTTGCCGAGACATTTACTGACGCAAAGCGGTGCACTGCTCTCTGCAGATTACCCCAACAGAAAAAACGCCATCGTCTCGTCAACCGCCGCTGCCACTGAATGGAACGCGATCGGGAGCGGGGATTCATTTTTTATCCACTTTTTTTTTAACAATCGCAATTCCCCCACTCTGCCGCCCCGTCAGACCAGTACAAGCCCGCGATCGCGCATCGGGACTTGAACAGCCGGAACGTGCTGGTGCGCGCAGACCACAGCTGCGTGCTCAGCGACCTGGGCCTCGCCATGAAGCTGACGCGGCGCTCGCCAGTCCAGCGCGGCGGGGACGACGACACCTCCACCATCTGCGAGGTGCGGCCGGATCGCAGGACGGCAGCTGCTCCTCCTCCACGCACTTCTGTGGCTGAACTCCATTATTATTATTAGTGGGTTTTTTTTCTATGCTGAACTTCTTTCGCACCGTACGTAGCCAACCGTGGTAATCGGAGGTGTTGGGGAAGGACAGCACAGAGCACAAACCCCACCCAGGTGGGGACCGCGAGTGGGAAGCACGGATAGGATGAGGGAAGAAGAACAAAAGTGAGGAGATAGAAGGGATGGGGGGAAGGGCGGGGAGGGGGGAGAAGGAAAAAGGGCATGGAGAGAGCACTGAACCTAAACTGCAAGGCAAAATAACTTTACACGCGCCCATTGAACGTATCACCAGATAAAGTCCTGCAGAGCAGTGAATAACTGCTGTCCGTCCCCCGGAACTCTGATTATTGTTTTTGTTACGTTTGTACGAATGTTGAACTTCGCAGCGTATGTAGCCAGCCAGGCTAATCAGAGGGTGCGGGGGGAAGGACTACAACAAACGAAAAAAGCACCACGCGCGCCACGCCGCCCTTCACGGGCGCTTGCAAACAGCCCTCGCCCCAACAGCCTCTATGGCTACACGGGGGATCTTCGCCTTTTGCCTGTGTGTGTGTGTGCGTGCGTGGTGGCCACGCGGACGTTCAGGTGGGGACGTTCCGCTACATGGCCCCGGAGGTGCTGGACGGTGCCATTGACCTCACGGACTACGAGACGGCGCTCAAGCAGGTGGATGTCTACTCGCTGGGCCTCGTCTACTGGGAGATCTTCATGCGGTGCCGCAACCTCTTCCCCGGTGAGATGCACGCGCGGTCCGCATGTGGCCCACCCATGGCCCACGTGTGGCCCACGTGCGGCCCACGTGCGGCCCACGTGCAGCCCACGTGCGGCCCATCTATGGCCCACTCATGTGTGGCCCACCCACGGCCCATGCATGCCCTACGCATGGCTCACTTACGTGTGGCCGCCGGTACCCGAGGCTCCGACCCGCCGTTCAGATGAGGCCCCTGTCAAGAGTCAATGCCAACGTTGCCGCGCCATCGATTCCCACGATACCATATTACAATTCACGAAGTGACGGTGATCACGATGTTGGCGCTTTGCTGCACTTCCTGCACAAATAAAGATGACTGAGAGGTCCTTCGACTGCAGTTCACTCAGCAGAGGCTGGCAGGCCTCCAGTCGGTCCAGTTCTTACAACCTGGTTATGACGCTCATGACCATGCTGGCAGTTGCATGCGAAGTAATGAAATCTCAGAATCATCATCTTTATTTAGACTGGAGGAATCTGATGAGCTATGAAGCTCTTTCTCACAGATGTCCGGTAGTAATTGCAACCATGAAAATTATGACACTATATAATCGCCCTGCCGCCGATTACTCGAGGAAAACTGCATTTTAAGAAGCGCTCGATGATAGATAAGTATTTAACAACTGTAATTACGTCATACATGTTTTGTCGGGAAAGAAAAAAGTTTAGCAATAAAAATGAGCGACGATAATCACCATCATCACGATATTTGGCATAAAGGATGATAATCTCATCATAAATATTTAATCTTTCGATACAAAGAAAGTGTCACTACATCGTGGCCATTCTGGTAAATCTTCGATTTTAGAGAACGGCTTACCCTTCAGCTGCACGACGCTGGAACAATATCGTGCATTCTGTACATCTGACAGGTGTCTTAAAAAAAGACTCAATAACACACATTTAATTGTTCAAAATGAGAGTTGTTACATTTGTTGGTTTCCACCCGACATGAACGTTCCTGTTGCGATGGTTTCCTCATCACGTACAGAACGGAATTCATCGATTATTACTTACATATGTATGTTGAACTTTTTTCGCACCGTATGTAGCCAACCGTGCTAATCAGAAGTGCGGAGGAAGGACAACAAACTGAATACTAAAAGCAGCTCTAAAGAAACGAGTTTGTCAATCTAGAGGATTTAAAGGTGCATAGCTCCAGTGGCTTCCTGATGTAGTGGAGTACGAAGGTGCGTTGTGGAAACAGCGTGATTACATGATCACACAGACAATACGGGTTATGTTGTGTCAGCCTGTAACGAAGGCAAATACAGTCATGTTAGGGCAGCCAGGTGCAAGGGCTGGGATGATGAGGTAATGGTTGGGCCAATTAAGCCAGAGGACCAGCGACGGCGGTGATTGGCTGGGGCTGTTGTCAAGAGCGAGGAGGCGTCGAGGTGTCTGGAGAAAGACAGGTGTTCTGAGGACGTGAAGCGTGGGGAGGCACGCGGGTCAATTAATTAGGGGTGTAATGAGAGCGGGTATAAGAGCGGGAGTCGGAGTCAACTGAGGGGAGTTGAGTTGAAAGGAGTTGAGCTTGGAGATGGGTTGAATGGTGGAGAGCTTGGAGGGGGGTTGAGTTGAAGGGAGTTGAGCTTGGAGATGGGTTGAAGTTGGAGTTGGGAGCTGGACGAGGCAAGACATGGAGTTTGGAGGAGAGTTTGGAGACAGAGTGGGGGACAGAGTTTGGAGACAGAATTGGAAACAGAGTTTGGAGACAGAATTGGAAACAGAGTTTGGAGACGGAGTTGGAGACGGAGTTTGGAAACAGAGTGTGGAGCGAAGCTGAAGAAGAGAAGCAGCTAGCAGTAGAGAGAGCGTAACGATAGCGGAGCTGAAGACGCTGTGTGCGAAGTCACTGTGTGCGAAGTCACTGTGTGCGAAGACGCTGTGTGCGGAGTTGCTGAGTGCGGAGTTGCTGAGTGCGGAGTCGCTGAGTGCAGAGCAAGCGAAGTAATCGTGGGGAGCGGAGAGACAAAGGTGGCGAGCGAGTCGAGTGAAGCACGGCGAGCGAGCCGTGGCGACCTGGATACTGTGGAATGTGGAGGACATGCTGAGAGTTGTAAATAAAGCAGTGTTCGAAGAAAGACAGAAGTTGTCCGAGTGATATCGAACACTACACTAATATCAGGAGGGAGAGCATTCCAGACGGCAGCAGAAACGCATCTGATAGCGCGCACATGTGTTCGACGGCCAGTAAAAAGCCGCCACTGCCGCTGCTGCGAGGATGACCGAAGTCCACGTGATTATGCTTTACGCTCCTTGCCGAGGTCAGCCAAGGCATCGTAATTCATTTGTGGCGCAGCACTTTTGCGTGTGTGCAACGAGCGTGACCTCATGACACCGCTGTATTCGTTGGGCAACCGGAAGCCGACGCGGCTCGGCGAGCACCGGATGGACCACGGTCGGATCTCGCAGTTACCCCCACCCCCCCACCCCCCCGTCATGACGCCCGTGCGGTGTTCCCCACGTCAGAGGGCCGAGCGCCGCCCTACGAGATGGCGCTGCAGGCGGAGCTGGGCAACCACCCGTCCTTCGAGGACGTGCAGCACTTCGTGGCGCGGGAGCGGCAGAGGCCCAGGTTCCCCGACGCGTGGAGGGACGACAGCTTCGTGAGTCACGGTCACCTCTTTATCCCTATTTTGCAACATTTTAATCGCACGACTCTCCAATCGTTGATGGTCGTCGTCGCGAGACAAACGCATTTCTGTTCGAAAACGCTGCGGCTTTTATCGTTTTTTTTTTTTTTTACCCAGCTGATTCTCACCGAGTCTCGTGACTTTTTGTCAGAAGGGTCCTGCCAGGTTTTCGCAGGAAGGAGACGATGTTGCTGTGTGTAATCCACACTGCGATTAGCACCTCTGATTAGCACGGATAGCTACGTACGCTGCAAAAGAAGTTCAATATACACACATACACCGTACCTCCGATTAGCACGATTGGCTACATACTGTTCGAAAGAAGTTTAGTAAACAAACATACACCGAGTAATTTGGAGGTGATTGTTTCAGCATTGGGATGGTTGGCCAATGCCAATTCCATTCCATGGGCGCGTTTTTTTCAGCTATGGGAGGAAACCAGAGAACCCATGCAGAACGGGGCGAGAGAACAGACAACTGGCACGCAGAAAGCCGCGCGAGTCGGGAATCGAATCCCCCAAACCGTTCCTGATGTGTGGCGTGGGCGTGACCACCCTGCCGCCCAGCCAGCATTGCCTCGCGGTCACGGAAGGTGCCGTTTCACAGAACTACCTCCTGAAGTGTGCAAACCACGTGTTTGCATCTCGCCACCCACGTGTTTGCAAACCAGTGTTTGCATCTCGCCACCCACGTGTTTGCAAACCGCGTGTTTGCATCTCGCCACCCACGTGTTTGCAAACCACGTGTTTGCATATCGCCACCCACGTGTTTGCATCTCGCCACCAGAGCGCCCACAGTGGAGAGATGTTAACTACCTCGCCGGGTATGCAGGAAGTCGTGAGTTCATTTCTGACCATGACGCCTGCTGTATATTTGGAGTTTGCATGTTCTACCCGTTGTTGCATAGATATTTTTTTCCAGGTGCTCCGGTTTTCCCCTCTGCATTTAGAATCAACATGCGTTCATAGTATTTTGCTACTATAAGTTTCCACGTGATAAGCCACTTCGTTGAAATATCATTTGTGGCCAGGTCGCGTCTGAAAAAGAGCTCTACAGCTTAGTGGGCCTTACCTGCTAAAATAAAAAGTTTAGTTTAATCTCTTATTTGCCCTGTCAAAGGTGTCCGTCACGTGATCATAAAACCATATAGTTTGTCTCCGAGCTGTAACAAGTCCAGTTAAGCGAACATCCACACGTGATGTAATTTGCGTAACGGTGACCAGGCTGCACTTGCAATCCAGAGGTGCCGGTTACATCTCCGCGCACGGAAGTTTCAACAATTGGGGCAAGTTTCTAAAATCCACACCCGCCTCTGTCCGCCCAGTCGTCCACATTTCTGCCCCATAAGTCGTCGATCAACCATATCGCCAACAGTGCTGGGATGGTGGCTGAGCGCACGTGCGCGAGTAAACTAAAAACTACTAAACTTAACTACTTTTTATTTTACCAGGTAAAGCCCACCGAGCTATGTAGCTCTTTTTCAGAAGTCTAGCTCTCATTCTCTTCTCCATTTCTCTCTCTGTCTTTCTGTCTCTCTCTCTCTGTCCGAATGCCTGTTTTGCAATGAGCTCACAGGGAAGGGGGAAGGGTGTGATCACCGCGAGTTGTCTGATGGCAGGATGGAAATAAAATGTAATCTCTCGGCCTGTGGGTGGGGACCCCGTTCCGAGTTTAAGAATTGTGAAGCGGTTAGCATGGCATTGAGCGCATTTCGTTATAAACTCATGAAACTAAAATTATTTGATTTTACCAAGTAAGGCCCCACTAAGCTATACAGCTTTTTTTCATAAGCCACCTGGCTATAGCAAATGATAGATCAACGAATTTGCTTATCATCACGTGGACATTTATTGTCGCAAAATACTCTAAACGCGTGACGTTGATTCTAAATGTGGAGGGAAAAACGGGAGGACCTGGAGAAAAATCTACATGACCACGAGGATCGTGAGAGGGGCACACAAACTCCAAATATACAGCAGCAGGCGTCATGGGTCGGGATTAAACCCACGACCTCCTGCATACCAGGAAAGGTAGTTAACATCTCCTACCCACCATGGCACCCCAAGTCTCCTAGGCCGTGGCGACTCGAGCGTGCGCGTCCACTCTTGTTGCAGATGATCTCCTGTCTCAAGGCGGTGATTGAGGAGTGCTGGGAGCATGATGCCGATGCCCGTCTCACGGCCAACTGCGCCGAGGAGAGGCTCGCCGAGCTGCAGTCCCTCCGCTCCCCGGGTCCCGCCGCCGCCACCACCGACACCACCGCCGCCGCCCCCACCATGGAAACGAACAACAAAATGTGAGCGCTGCCGTGCAGGCCGCTGCTCTCACTCGCGGCGGACGGCGATTCGCGCGGTTGGCTACGTACGGCGCGTTAAGACGTTCAACATGCATAGACTCAGACACAGACCCATAGACTCACACAGAGACCCATAGACCCACACAGAGACCCATATACTCACACAGAGACCCATAGACTCAGACACACAGAGACCCACAGACTCATACAGAGACCCATAGACTTACACAAAGACCCACAGACTCACAGAGACCCACAGACTCACACAGAGACCCACAGACTCGCACAGAGACCCACAGACTCGCACAGAGACCCATAGACCCACACAGAGACCCATAGACTCACACGTAGACCCATAAACTCAAACACAGACCCATCGACTTACACAAAGACCCACATACTCACACAGAGACCCATAGACTCACACAGAGACCCATAGACTCACACAGAAACCAACAGACTCACACAGAAACCCATAGACTCACACAGAGATCCATAGACTTACACAAAGACCCGCAAACTCACACAGAGACCCATAGACTTACACAAAGACCCACAGACTCACACAGAGACCCACAGACTCGCACAGAGACCCATAGACTCACAAAGACACCCATAGACTCACAAAGGGAACCATAGTTTGTTGGCCTTCCATCGCACCCTCCGATTAGCACGGTTGGCTACGTACGGTGCAAAAGACGTTCAACATACGTACACGCATCTGTGTTGCGGCTGTGTCGGAGGCTGCACTCAAGCAAGTGGCGGTGCAGCTACAGAGTGTGTAGGTGGTACAGCTACAGAGTGTGTAGGCGGTGCAGCTACAGAGTGTGTAGGTGGTACAGCTACAGAGTGTGTAGGTGGTACAGCTACAGAGTGTGTAGGTGGTGCAGCTACAGAGTGTGTAGGTGGTACAGCTACAGAGTGTGTAGGTGGTGCAGCTACAGAGTGTGTAGGTGGTACAGCTACAGAGTGTGTAGGTGGTACAGCTACAGAGTGTGTAGGTGGTACAGCTACAGAGTGTGTAGGTGGTACAGCTACAGAGTGTGTAGGTGGTACAGCTACAGAGTGTGTAGGCGGTGCAGCTACAGAGTGTGTAGGTGGTACAGCTACAGAGTGTGTAGGCGGTACAGCTACAGAGTGTGTAGGTGGTGCAGCTACAGAGTGTGTAGGTGGTGCAGCTACAGAGTGTGTAGGTGGTGCAGCTACAGAGTGTGTGGGTGGTGCAGCTACAGAGTGTGTGGGTGGTGCAGCTACAGAGTGTGTAGGTGGTACAGCTACAGAGTGTGTAGGTGGTACAGCTACAGAGTGTGTGGGTGGTAGAGCTACAGAGTGTGTGGGTGGTGCAGCTACAGAGTGTGTAGGTGGTACAGCTACAGAGTGTGTAGGTGGTACAGCTACAGAGTGTGTGGGTGGTACAGCTACAGAGTGTGTGGGTGGTGCAGCTACAGAGTGTGTAGGTGGTGCAGCTACAGAGTGTGTAGGTGGTGCAGCTACAGAGTGTGTAGGTGGTGCAGCTACAGAGTGTGTAGGTGGTACAGCTACAGAGTGTGTAGGTGGTGCAGCTACAGTGTGTAGGTGGTACAGCTACAGAGTGTGTAGGTGGTGCAGCTACAGGGTGTGTAGGTGGTACAGCTACAGAGTGTGTAGGTGGTGCAGCTACAGGGTGTGTAGGTGGTGCAGCTACAGAGTGTGTAGGTGGTGCAGCTACAGAGTGTGTAGGTGGTGCAGCTACAGAGTGTGTGGGTGGTGCAGCTACAGAGTGTGTGGGTGGTGCAGCTACAGAGTGTGTAGGTGGTACAGCTACAGAGTGTGTAGGTGGTACAGCTACAGAGTGTGTGGGTGGTAGAGCTACAGAGTGTGTGGGTGGTGCAGCTACAGAGTGTGTAGGTGGTACAGCTACAGAGTGTGTAGGTGGTACAGCTACAGAGTGTGTAGGTGGTGCAGCTACAGAGTGTGTAGGTGGTACAGCTACAGAGTGTGTAGGTGGTGCAGCTACAGGGTGTGTAGGTGGTACAGCTACAGAGTGTGTAGGTGGTGCAGCTACAGGGTGTGTAGGTGGTGCAGCTGTATTGAGGCAGCTGTGGATCGGGGGAACCCCAGGCACCAGGCTACAAAGGGCGTTGGGGGGGAGGTTTGGACAGGGGCCCCGTGTCATTGCTCTCCTCACCAGGGTGCATGCCCACCCCTTGTAGTGCCACCGGAGTGATGTGGGTGTAACCTCGCTGCGTTGATTTGCCTCCTCTAGGGGGGTGGGGGGGGCTGTAAGCCGCAGCATTCTCGATCTAGAGTGTAAATTGTCAGAGTACGGCGGAGCATTCGTTAGAGCCAAGATGACGTTTGTGAGACACCCACCTTGCTGGGTAACGTGAAGGTGCCTCTAGGGTTGGCAGTACAGCGAGACCCTGGAAAGGGCACTATTTAAATCCTAAATAGAATAGAGTTGGTGAATACCTTGTTTGTTTACGGTTTGAGTGTTCCATTGTGCAGAAGTTTACCAGGCACATGGGTTAACACATGCATTGTGCAGGATCCTCTATAGATAGACAGGTTAGCCTGGAAAGCCCTACATAAATATTTCAAAGTGAACATCTGTCGTGGTATGCATTGGCCAAGACGAACTCTGCAGCCAGACAGCATGCTTCCGCTCTGCCCTGCAGAACCCCATTGGCTAAATATCTGGTCCAAATAACCTTGCAGCATTGAAACCTGGAAGGCGTTGGTTCACAGATCTTCACATTTCTACAACAACCGCTTACCTGTACACGCTTCACCGAAAGCCCACGAGCTCTCTCCGTCCCCTCCATCGTCTCTCCGCTAAGCTCCTCCCGCAGTGCCGTGACCGTGCCGTCTCGCCCCACGCCTGACAGAAACTCGCTCCACGGGCAGCGCGACGGGCCCCGTTCCCCGGACGGCGTCTACATCGAGGAGCCTCGCGGCGACCCCAACGGCCGGGTCAAATGCCCGGGCCCCCGGGGCTCCGCGTGCGACCGCGGAAGCGTCGGCGAGAGCGGCGGCGAGGGGACGGCCGACGTCGCGGCCTCCTCCCGGGCGGAGGCGGAGCGTGGCTCGTCGCCGGTGCCGCCGGCAAACGGGACGCCGGCCGACCGCGACCCCGCGGCCTCCGTGCCCTTGCCGGGCGGCGACAACGCGGTGAAATCGGGGATCTCCGCGAGGGAAGGGGGGGAGGACTTCGGGGAGGGAAGGGGCGGAGGACTCCGGGGATCGTCCGGCAAGAGTTTCCACGAGATGGGCCTGCTGAACGGCAACCAAACCACGTACGCGGTGTACTGACGCCTGTGGCAGTCCGCCCCATCTGGTATTGACAGAGGCGTGGTCCGGTATTCGGGGTACTTCCATCGTCTGTATCGTTTCCCACCGCTCGCCTGCCCGTTCCCCTACGCGGACCGACCAGCTGGGACCCAGCTCCAGGGGAGCCCGGGCCTCCTACTACCATGAGGCCTGTGTTGGACACTGGTTATTAGTTCTCCACTTGGCAGCAAACCAGGCGTAGACAACAGCAGTATAGCAGCAACAAACAATTTAAATGTATAAGTATATGCCACCTCAATGCGACTTCATCTCACGATGCTTTTCCAAAAGCGAGTGCTTTAGGAAAGGTGGTGGTGGTGGTGAGGAAGGGTGAGCGGGGTGGGGGGGACATTAGCACCGGCTCACTCCGAGATGGTTCGCGCACAGATCGAGGGCGTTCCGTTGGTATCGTGACACGTCGAGACACGGATGATCTGTGAACACCTGCCAGGTCCGTCTGACCAACGTGGAGATATTTCATAGATTTGCGTTCAATCAGTGCTTTCAGTACAGCTCTTCTCTATTTTCTTTAAAATGCTATCCTTTGTTGTAATGCAATGTTTATTTTTGAGTGCTTGGAGGCAAGCTTTGGTAGATTCATGAAAATCTAAAGTATATTTTTATGATTTATAATAGATTTTGGGTCAGATGGCATTAGTAAAATCTGTGTTGTAAACCTCCTCCACCCGACAAAAACAATTAATTTAGTTTTAGTAGTAATTAATTTAGTTGCCAAGTATACGCCAATATTACTGCTCCAGCACCGGTGGTGTGTGCTGGATACAATTTTACAACACACATTTTACTTTTGCGATCGAACCCAAATATCAATAAGGAATTCTAATTTATCTTTTGTATTATGCAGCTGCTGTTTATACATAGCACATAGTGCGGAAATTATTTTTTTATAAAGTGTACCTACGTGGAGAGTGTGCAGCCAGTACACAGCCAAACACAAGAGGTGTTATTGATTTCGTTATTTCACTCGGACAGAGTCACCGTTACTGCGTGGACCGGAAACCGTTCGTTATTTGTGGCGGCAGAAACATTGTGGGATTTACCGCGGACAAGAGGAGAGCGCGTGACTAAGATGGCATGGTGCTCGGGGGCAACTTTATAGCAAATGTTGCCAACAACCTGCAGAAACACGTGCATTTTACCGATTGTGGCAACTTGCGTGGCAATGGCTTTAGTCAACTTAAGTTCTGTCTACAGAACAAGAGGAAACTTACTCATTGTTTTTTTCGGTAAAGTCACGTATGTAGAAATACAATACAATTATATTGAAACAAAACAATCACGACGTTTCGATCACAACACAAGCGATCTTCATCAGGTGTCAAGAACAAATCATGGAGGTAAATACAACAAGAAGATGAGAGAATTCAACAAACCTAAAAAATATTATGTAAAGCACAACCAGTCAGGCCAACAACACAGTTAGACACTTCCTGGGGGACCACGAATTTCAGAAGAGTGTTAAATTTCGTGTTCAACCTCTGGATTGCACATACCAGCATAGAATGAAAAAATACGAGGTACACAGTCAGTAGAAATACATATACAACTCATAAGAGGCAAGGAGCGGAGGAAAGACGGACAGGGAAGCAAGGAGAGAGAGAGGGGGCTGGAGGGATGAACAGAAGCCTTAAATAGGAAATAAGGTTGGGGGGAGGGGCCAGAGAGAGTGCGGCAGCTGAAATAAGCACCAAATAAGCACCACCTACACATCAACAGAAGGGGGAGGGGTGGGAACAGGCTTGGGGTGCACATTTAGGACAGAATTGCAACGGTAACTTCCCCGTAGAAGTGTGTTAATAAAGATTTAAAGCTTTCGTGACTGCATAAAATTGAAGATTGCATCGCGAGAGCGTGTGGGATCTCGGTGACAAGGTGGGTCTCCATCCAGCAGTGGCTCGATCGTGGTTAATGACGACGAGCGTGGTCTTTTTGGGGGTATCACGTTGGCCTTCCGTGTGGATTTGAGCCGGGCGGTGCATCCACGAACCGTTTGGATGCTGGCCTGCAGGAGTTGCCATGGGTTGCTGCCATGGAGCCGAAAAGCCACGCTAACATCTGGAAGCACTCGGGCTCTCTGCGTCAGCTGTATGGGGCTGTCCGTGGCCACACGTTGGTCTGTAATCGTTACTCACGCTGAGAATGTTCAGCCTTTGTTTACACACGTTGTCTATACAGTAACTCATCTTCAAGAAACTCATCGCCACTACATCCGATGTTGACTTTACATGTTCTGATCATGGCAAATAACCTTTCTAAAACTAAAACAGCGTGTGCATGTTGCATAACTCACGTGTGATGCACAATCCCGTTTCCGCCCCTTTTCCCTACGTGCCTCCTTGCACTGGAACAAACTTCCCCTCCACATGAAGCAAGCACTCCTCCCTCAAGACCCACCTGTTCTCCCTGGTCCATCCTTCCCTCCATCCCTAGGTGCCTACCCGAAATCCCGTACCCACTAAACCTACCTCCCCATACCCATCCCTATCCACCATACCACCTTTAGCTACCCTCATTGTACCACTCGTCAACTCTTGTAAAGCGCCTTGGATAAAGGCGTTATATAAATATAAGATAAGATTATGGTTGGAATAAGTCCTTCGGCCAATTTGATAAATTACTACAATTCAGGGCCATGATATTCTTCCAATGTTTTCTACATTGTATGGAACCACTCACGGTGGCTGCAGAATAATGTGCGTTAGTTTATTTAATTTGACCAGGTGGTGAGAATCCAAGAGGCCAGGATGAGCCTCATTTGCAAGAGTGCCCTGGGGGCATCAGTCTGCCAGGAGGGGGCGATGATTGCTGCCGTGCGTAAAATCTCAATTGAGTAAATTTTCGAATTTCAGCAAATTTGGACTGACGCCGGCACACAACGGCCGACTCTTTGCGTTCGGCGTCAGTAGAATCTTTGTTCACTGTGAAGCAGGCGGCGTGTAGTATTTTTCAAGCTGTTTCACCCGCAAAGCGACACCAGTTCCCCCCACAGAAGAAGCAGAACTACTGTCTTTCTAGAGCTGCGGTTCAGAAGAGAACCCGCTCTCTTCAGAACAATTGGTGGAGGGAAAGGGTAAAGGAGATTTAGCAACTTCCAGACACATTAAAAAAAACCTCCCACGAGTCCTTCAAAGCAACCAAAGCCATCTATGCCCGATAAACCAAGGCCGAACGCCTCTCTCTGCTCCAGCGATGGGACAATGCTCTCAAAGCTTTCCAAACTCTCATTAATGACAACACGCGCCGTCACTGCCACAAGCTATGTGGTTCTAGGATTGACCTCATCATCCACCTCTGTACCTACAAAACCTGGCCACCATCGCTCTCCTTGGAGGATCATCATACTCGACCTTGAGGAATCCCAGGTGGTGATGATGCACCCACAGTAATAATCCCAGGTGGTGATGATGCACCCACAGTGATAATCCCAGGTGGTGATGATGCACCCACAGTGATAATCCCAGGTGGTGATGATGCACCCACAGTGATAATCCCAGGTGGTGATGATGCACCCACAGTAATAATCCCAGGTGGTGATGATGCACCAACAGTAAAAATCAGGGCGGCCACTGGATTCGAACCGCGAAGCTCTGCGGCAAGTGGTGACCGCGTCACTGCCGCCATGTGAACCCATGACTACTTACAGCACAGATTACAGCCCTTTGTCTAGCCACTTCCAAGTGAAGGCCTCCCCATGCCGTTTTAGTCATTGAGGTTGTTTGACCATTCTTCGCCACACCGGTTTGTGCGGGTTAGTGAAGGGAGAATCAGAAACTGTTCGGATGTCACTCGCCCACCGATGTAAGCCGTGGCCTGGAATCGAACTCGGGTACTGGGTTCACAACACAGTGTGTTAACCAGTGTGCTATGGCTCTACGCCAATAAGAATTTTAAAAAGCATAAATCTTACACATGCAAACTAAACTCTAAAGTTTTTATGTTGCTTGGTAAGGCCCACTGAGCTATGTAGCTATTTTTCAGAAGTGACCTGGCCACAAATGATCGCTCAAAGAAGTCGCTTATCATGACGTGGAAATGTATAGCAGCCAAATACTCTAACAGAATGTTTCAAAATTAGACCCGGAGAAAAATCCACACAACCACGATGAGAACACGACCTCCTGTATACCAGATGAGGTAGTTAACATCTCGCCTCCCTGTATGAATTAACATTTTTGTTTGCGTTGCTGGTAAACGCAAGAAAAACATTCAATAAACCATTTGTCGGCTTGCTGAACAGGTCGACAGCTACCGACACGTCCAGTTCAGCGTGGAAGAGTAGACCAAGTTCCCTCTAGAGCTCCCGCTAGTGCAGGCCCTTCCTTCAGCATGGCGTGAGCTGCAAGCAACTGCAGGGCTGCGCATTTACCTTTGAGCTGTGTAACGAGGGAAGATATAACTTTGCGGTGACTTATGCCACCGTGTACTTTGCACATTCGCGTTTGCCGATCGGCATGTTCGTGACCGACTTTTGAAACCGGTAACTGGTCCTGATAACGGTTACTGATTTACTGGTTGCCGTTTCACAACCCTAGTATGAATAAAGTTTTTACTAGATTAGAGACTGCACCGTACAGTGAGGGAAAAAAGTATTTGATCCCCTGCTGATTTTGTACGTTTGCCCACTGACAAAGAAATGATCAGTCTATAATTTTAATGGTAGGTTTATTTGAACAGTGAGAGACAGAATAACAACAAAAAAATCCGAAAAAACGCATGTCAAAAATGTTATAATTTGATTCGCATTTTAATGAGGGAAATAAGTATTTGACCCCCTCTCAATCAGAAAGATTTCTGGCTCCCAAGTGTATTTTATACAGATAACGAGCTGAGATAAGGAGCACACTCTTAAAGGGAGTGCTCCTAATCTCAGCTTGTTACCTGTCTAAAAGACACCTGTCCAGAGAAGCAATCAATCCGATTCCAAACTCTCCACCATGGCCAAGACCAAAGAGCTCTCCAAGGATGTCAGGGACAAGATTGTAGACCTACACAAGGCTGGAATGGGCTACAAGACCATTTCCAAGCAGCTTGGTGAGAAGGTGACAACAGTTGGTGCGATTATTCGCAAATGGAAGAAACACAAAAGAACTGTCAATCTCCCTCGGCCTGGGGCTCCATGCAAGATCTCACCTCGTGGAGTTGCAATAATCATGAGAACGGTGAGGAATCAGCCCAGAACTACACGGGAGGATCTTGTCAATGATCTCAAGGCAGCTGGGACCATAATCACCAAGAAAACAATTGGTAACACACTACGCCGTGAAGGACTGACATTCTGCAGCGCCCGCAAGGTCCCCCTGCTCCAGAAATCACATATACATGCCCGTCTGAAGTTTGCCAATGAACATCTGAATGATTCAGAGGACAACTGGTTGAAAGTATTGTGGTCAGATGAGACCAAAATGGAGCTCTTTGGCATCAACTCAACTCGCCCTGTTTGGAGGAGGAGGAATGCTGCCTATGACCCCGAGAACACCATTCCCACCGTCAAACATGGAGGTGGAAACATTATGCTTTGGGGGTGTTTTTCTGCTTAGGGGACACGACAACTTCACCGCATCAAAGGGACGATGGACGGGGCCATGTACCGTCAAATCTTGGGTGAGAACCTCCTTCCCTCAGCCAGGGCATTGAAAATGGGTCGTGGATGGGTATTCCAGCATGACAATGACCCAAAACACACGGCCAAGGCAACAAAGGAGTGTCTCAAGAAGAAGCACATTAAGGTCCTGGAGTGGCCTAGCCAGTCTCCAGACCTTAATCCCATAGAAAAACGGTGGAGGGAGCTGAAGGTTCAAGTTGCCAAACGTCTGCCTCGAAACCTTAATGATTTGGAGAAGATCTGCAAAGAGGAGTGGGACAAAATCCCTCCTGAGATGTGTGCAAACCTGGTGGCCAACTACAAGAAACGTCTGACCTCTGTGATTGCCAACAAGGGTTTTGCCACCAAGTACTTAGTCATGTTTTGCAGAGGGGTCAAATACTTATTTCCCTCATTAAAATGCAAATCAATTTATACAATTTTTGACATGCGTTTTTCTGGATTTTGTTGTTGTTATTCTGTCTCTCACTGTTCAAATAAACCTACCATTAAAATTATAGACTGATCATTTATTTGTCAGTGGGCAAACGTACAAAATCAGCAGGGGATCAAATACTTTTTCCCTCACTGTACATGTCAACGAGCATGGCTGTACAAGTGTTCACCTTTCCAAACCGACTCTCAGCTCCCAACATGTCACGTTTCAATCCAAGGTTTCTGAATCTCGGCATGGACATACCCTTACAATCCTTAAGTCATTAAATGTAAGGCCAAAACCATTGTAAAGTTGTGTGCATTTGAGAATAATCTGCCAGCAATAGAAGCTAGTCGACTGGGAAAATGATAGGTACAAGAAGCCAGGGGAAGATAGCGAATTAAGTTACAATGTGCAATTTGAACATTGGATGCAAGTGGGAGCAGTTTTTTTTAGCAAATATCACGGATAGAGCTAAATGGTTGAAGGTCATGGATCGCCGACGTCTTTTATAAAGGACGTGGCACGGAGAGAGAGGATAGATCGTGGGAGACTACGGAGCAAATCACGTATTTTTGAGTTCACGGGGTGCACAATGGGGGTTTTTTATCAAAGAAAAAATGTGTATTAAATAAATCCCCATAGTTGACTCAAATAATTATACCGTGAAGTTCTTGCTAAGAAGAGTTGGAGAAATAAATGAAAGTATTGAGATGTTTTAATAAAGCATGCCTCTAAATTGCGGTATTTCAATGTGGAGTAGCCTTGATTGGTTCATATTCTAATGCAGTGCATCCCAAATATTGAGATGATCTCTAAATCGCAAGACACTTAAAAATGTTTCACACGTGTTGGCTAAAACGATACTTTTATAAGAGTTGTGTATGCCTTATCACCATGTATTTTGTATTACGATTATTTATATTGATACACTTTTATCATAGCTTTTTATATATATATTGATGTACAAAGTTTGTCGGGGCAAAATAAAAGACAGTTGTTGAACGCTTATTGTGCGGCTCGCTTCTTTTTTATGAAGATCTTTAAAACAACAACAACATAGGCCCGAACAACACTTTAGGGGCCGTCCATAAATGACGTCACGCGATTTTGGACGTTTTTTGACCCCATTCGTCACACGGCGTCACAAAAAGTCAGACCCTCCTTCAAATATCACGTCACAAAGCTCTGCCCCCCCCCCCCCCAAAAATATATATAAAACATGCTTCAAATCGCTTTAAGCTATTGTCATTGTAGTGCGTATTTAATGTGGCGCTGCACTCTGATGTTTCAGGAGAAAACATTCATTAAAAAGTCGATTTAATTAAGTAGAACGTGTTGTCTATATGTATTTAAAGTTGCGCATTTTGATGTGACGTCACATTTCTCAACCCCCCCCGCATCACACATCGTCACAAATGTCTGACCCCCGCTATGTGCGTGACGTCAATTATGGACGGCCCCTTTGGTGATAGAAAAACCGGACGGGGACAAACTCGGGGCGCCCTGAGACCCAACGCGACCGGTCGATATAAGGCGGGGGAATTTAACCGTGGGTGTAACGGGGTGGTAAACATCAATCGCCTCTTTCACACAAAGGAATCGAGTCGGGAATCCAATGTGCTTTTACCTGGGGGGGGGGGGGGGGGGGGGGGGGTGGGGAACGGGTGGTTATGGGAAGAAGGGGGGGGGTACATTCAATTTATGGAGAGGTAGTCCCAGGCCCGCAGGGGAAACAAGAGTCAGGGGTGTGAGAGGGGGGCGAGCTCCATTATTCTTAAACACGACGACTCCGGTCGTTTACTCTATGGTCCATCATTTGGGTTGCATGGCCACAATCGCAGCACTGTGGCTTGTCTTTAGTTTGCCATCTATGAATGGAGACGTGTGCATCGGCCTATTGGTGCTCTGAGGCGGTTGATGATTATGTAATTACCGAAAATGACCCCAAGCAAATGTGTAGCCTAACGGCTATTGAAAAATCAACCAAGCTCTCTGATTGGAGGAAAGAGGCCTCCACAGCGATTGGTCAGGAGACATGGCTTTTGAAGTGATTGGAGGGAAAGTTTATAAGGGGAATGGGCGGGAAACAAGGTGGAACGCAGAGGCGATGGTTTGGATCTGTGAGAGGGAAAGGACAGGGATTGGCTGAGGGAAATAGAATGAGGGAACATTGCAGAAAGGGGTGCTGAGGGACACATAAGGGGAGAGCACGAGGAGTGGAGAGGTTCGGAGGAAGATACAGTGAGGGAAAAAAGTATTTGATCCCCTGCTGCTTTTGTACCTTTGCCCACTGACAAAGAAATGATCAGTCTATAATTTTAATGGTAGGTTTATTTGAACAGTGAGAGACAGAATAACAACAAAAAAATCCAGAAAAACGCATGTCAAAAATGTTATAAATTGATTTGCATTCTAATGAGAGAAATAAGTATTTGACCCTCTGCAAAACATGACTTAGTACTTGGTGGCAAAACCCTTGTTGGCAATCACAGAGGTCAGACGTTTCTTGTAGTTGGCCACCAGGTTTACACACATCTCAGGAGGGATTTTGTCCAACTCCTCTTTGCAGATCTTCTCCAAGCCATTAAGGTTTTGAGGCTGACGTTTGGCAACTCGAACCTTCAGCTGCCTCCACATATTTTCTATGGGATTAAGGTCTGGAGACTGGCTAGGCCACTCCAGAACCTTAATGGGCTTCTTCTTGAGCCACTCCTTTGTTGCCTTGGCTGTGTGTGTTTGGTCATTGTCATGCTGGAATACCCATCCACGACCCACTTTCAATGCCCTGGCTGTGGGAAGGAGGTTCTCACCCAAGATTTGACGGTACATGGCCTCGTCCCTTTGATGCGGTGAAGTTGTCCTGTCTCCTTAGCAGAAAAACACCCCCAAAGCATGTTTCCACCTCCATGTTTGACGGTAGGGACGGTGTTCTTGGGGTCATAGGCAGCATTCCGCCTCCTCCAAACACGGCGAGTTGAGTTGATGCCAAAGAGCTCCATTTTGGTCTCATCTGGCGACAACACATTCACTCAGTTGTCCTCTGAATAATTCAGATGTTAATTAGCAAACTTCAGACGGGCATGTACAGTGAGGGAAAAAGTACTGCGACGAGCAGGCTCCAGGGCATGGCCTCGACATTAGCAATGGGTGCTGTGTCTCGCAGAGAAGAGGGGCGAGGTGATGCTCGATGCTGAGTTCGGCATGGACCGACAGAGTATCGCTAAAAGTGATTCTACATTCATCCTGATGTTTGAGTCGCTTGCAAAGTCAAGGATTGCGATAAGTTGTATTGTACTAAGCTATCAGAGTTGTGTAAGAGGTGTGCTAATACGATTTTCAAGTTTTTAAGAGTGAGTGCCAGCTCCCACGAGCAGCTGCGATCGGCAGGCTCCGGGAACCTGCCCCCGTGACTGGCACATCATCAACGAGCTGCACCAGCAGAAGCCACGAGTCTACGAAGTCAACGCAAAGAGTTGAGCTCTGCAAGCGGCAAGCTCCGGGGTGGGACTCTGCAATCAACCAGGGATGGGGAGACTTGCCGAGTAGCGGTGTGCCACCGAACACGAGTTCAGCGCTGACAGAAGAAGTATCGCTCAAAGTCATTCTACCCTGAGTGCCAGCTCCCACCAGCAGCTACAGCCGAGCAACAGAATAACGAGCAAC